CGGTTCGACGGCAATATAGGCAAGTGCTGGGGCCTTTTCAAGCAACGTTTCGAGCTGTTTTTGACAGCCACAGAGCCTGCGAAGAAACGAGGGGCATCGACGAAAGCTGCGTTGCTGTTGAGCGTCGCTGGCGTAGAAGCTATCGAGGTGTAAAACACATTTAGCTTCGCCGAAGACGAGGCCAAGGACGGCTATGACGCAGTAATCAAGAAGTTCGACGACTACTGCGCTTCATAATTCAATGAGAAACATCAGCGTTATCTGTTCCGCACACGAAAGCAAGAGCCAGGTGGCCTTTCGAACAGCAAGTAGTCAATGATAAGAGACCAAATTGTTTTTGGTACAAATGACGCTAAAACTCGAGAGAAGTTTGTGACCGACAACAAGTTACCGTTGCAAAAAGCAGAAGACGTATGCAAGACAGTTGAGATAACTGCAGCAAAACAAGAAATCTGGACACGAGAGGACAAACTAGTAGACGCCATGCAAAGTACACGTGGCGGTTCGCGAGCTAAGCAACAGGAAAGTTGTAAATGCCGAAAGTGTGGCTGGGTTCGCGCACCGTGCCCAGAGTACGGAAAAACACGCCGCGCGTGCCATAAGAGAAACATCTTTGCCGTGGGCTGCAGAACGAAGCCGCAAGTAAGTGAGCTTCAGGGCAACGAGGACGATCTTGAAGCTCTCACGATTGGCAGTAGGAGCAATCGGTCAGACTGGATCATCACGGCAACAGTTCGAGGAAGGCTTATTACTTTCAAAGTGGATACGGGCTCCCAGGCTAATTGGCTGCCAGCCTCGTTGTGCGCAAAAATGAGCCTCAAACCACAACTAAAGCCCAGCAGTGCCGTCTTACGCTCTTACGGTGAAAACATGCAAGATCAAACGTTTGGGTATCGTGAGGCAAGAAGTGACCTTGCGTGATCGTGCTTCCTTTCAGGGCTTCTTCATAGTCGGCAAAGGAGCTCTAGCGTACAGCGCGGATAATGCTTCTGCGAGTTTTGGGAAACGTAACTCAGTTTTCAAGATGATGCAGAGAGATCAGCCGATTTTCTTGAAGGCCATTGGCAATCGCCATGTTGTGCATAACACTGCCAAGCACGCAGTCAAGTCACCCCGCCGCGGTGGTCTAGTGGCTAAGGTACTCGGCTGCTGACCCGCAGGTCGCGGGTTCGAATCCCGGCTGCGGCGGCTGCATTTCCGATGGAGGCGGAAATGTTGTAGGCCCGTGTGCTCAGATTTGGGTGCACGTTAAAGAACCCCAGGTGGTCAAAATTTCCGGAGCCCTCCACTACGGCGTCTCTCATAATCATATGGTGGTTTTGGGACGTTAAACCCTACAAATCAATCAATCAATCAATCAACGCAGTCAAGTCTTTAAGGTTTGACGTTGACACTCTTGTACTAAAGGTATTCAAAGAATTTTCTTCTAGCTCGAAATGTGTAAAGGAATTCAAAACGTTCTTTGAATTTTGTGATCAGGAATATAGCAAAGTTTTGTGTCTATTTTGGTCCGCTGGTTAAGCTTGTTTGCAGCCTTAGACAGATTGATGAAGAACTGGACACCCATCAAGTCATACTTTCTGAGTCAAACAATTGAGGAGTACAACAAAATAATCTGGAGGTTTATAGGCAACCAAGCTGATGGACTTTCAGAGAGTGTCACGCTTCCGAAGTGCAACATGCACTTCATGCACTCGTTCCTTGCAATGTTCCATTCAGCAATCCTCACCCCGGAAAAGAGTCACCTTGAGGCGACAGAACTTTACGCTGTAATTACTAAGCTCAGGAAACATCTGATTAATCGAAGGGATGATATGTTCTTCAGTGACAAGGGTAATCTGGGACTTGAAATCCTTCCTGGTGGACAAGATGCAAAGCTGGACTTGGCAAATTTCCATGACAGGGCCCTTGTGTACCTCGAAAAGTGGTTTGACTTCGACCACTCCCCGTTTAAGATGCTCGCCGAATTGGATCTGCGCAAAGATGCACCCACTTTATTGATGGTAATAAATGCGGGGAACCCTTTTGGCATTGACTGAGGAAGGGGACGAACTCTACTGTGAGCTTTGTCTTTTTTAAGGATGCTCTGCCTGACGAGAAATCAAGCTCGATGTGGCTGAAGTTCTTAAGGGAGATAAAGTGCCCCTTCTTGCAGAACCTAATGGAGCATGTCTACTCTATTCCCTGCAGCAATGCGTTCGTGGAACGCGTCTTCAGCGTGATGGGGAAACTTGGGGACGGATGAAAGAAACCAGCTAAGCGTCCCAATGGTAAAAGCGGAACTTTGTGAGAGGTATAGTTTGGTGTACAGCTGTGAAAAATTTATAAAGATGGCGAGAGAAGACAAGAAGCTCATCCGAGCCGCTAAGTCGAATTCTAAGTACATATTCAAGTTCCGCGAACAGGAGAAGGCGAGCACATAGGATTTCTCTATTTTTTTTATGCGTTGTGAGTGCACTGTACATTATGACACGTGGAGGTATACATGCATTGTATACTTTTTAATAAAGCACTGAACAGCTCAGAAAAAATGACGAAAACATCGAAATTCTACTCGAGAGACACGACTATTCCGATAGACGGACTTTATTACACATGTTTTCGAACAGTTGGCCGTATTTTTGTTTGCGTGCGGCCGCTGTACGCCAGCGCGAGCACCGCGACGGAAAGATGCATGTGTTTGTGTATAGTACTTCCCTTTCTCTACCTCTCCTTTATATCTCATTCATTCTCTTCCACAAAGACGCTGAGATGTCACGCCATTTTTCGGGGCTTTACCCCACCTGGGAACATTGTTAGCTGCAGGTGCCGCTCGTAGGGATTTTAGGAATCGTAGCGGGGGCCGAGCGGGTTGACAAAGACGGGCGACGGAAGGGCATAGTTGGCGCGCCTGTTCCAGGCACGGCCGTTAGTGAAAAACGCATTAAAATCATCATTTTTTGCAAGTTTCTGTCTGAATTGAATGCTGTGTCTACGGATTTCAGCACCCAATTTTTTAGTTTGGCTGAAAACCTCGGCGAGAAATATTTTGTTCAGCATACGTAATAATTTAACGCTCGTTCAGAGTGCAAACATTGTAAGACTCATGACATTTGTGCACTTGCCACCAGAGACTAATTGATTCGCTCAGTAATTACCCCCCCCCCTCTCCCGCTGTCGGGCCGGATTTTTTTTTTCTGAGAAAAGTGGCAACCCTATGGTGGCCCCTGGCAAGGTGCCCGTGAATCTTGTGCAGCAAGTCACGGTAGATGTATCAGTGTCTTCAAGGCAACACCTTTCGAGTGATGAAACCTTGGGCCAGATTGTGAGAAGGAAAAGGAAAGCAGACTGCCCACATGAGCCATGCAGAAGTTCGGCCTCGAGGGCAAATCCCGAACAACCTCAGATAGCCGTGAGTTTCGAATGGCTGAAGAATATGCGAAGAGAACCTGGCTATTGAAAACAAAGGCGAAAGCGAATGCATAGCGTACAAAACCGGTGGAACTTTTATCTAATTGGTATGATACATTATCTTCCTCTATAGCTGGGTTATGTCGGTATTTTGATGTTTTGTCATTTTCAGCCTACGGTGTTATGATTTTTCGACATTTTAAATTTCCGACATTTTATATTTTCTGCGTTTTGATGTTTCTGTGTTTTAAATTTCGGCATTCCGATAGTTCAGCCTTTTGATTTTCGGCGTTGCCACCCTTCGAAGACAGGTATCGGAATGGCATCAGAGGACACCGTGCCACCTCGGGACGCGGCTATGTTGAATGTGTGTATATTTTTTCCGGAAATATGTAGCATTGATTTTCTACTTTTTTTTGGTGCCGTGGTTGCTCAGCTACGTGTTACACGAGATCATGGTGGCAAGCTGTGGGCGTCATATGCAAGAATGACGAACTCAGCCTTGAAGGATACGTAAGCAACGGCAAAACATTTCGTGAACGCACAAGCTGGCATCCAGCAACAGTCCAAAGAAACAACACGGTTCGAAACGAAAATCACGTCGCACATGCGCACATAGTACAGATGAAAGCGCATGGATGGCTGTACGGACAGATGGATGCACGAACGTACGCAGGGGCGGATGCATAGACGAACGCAGGGATGTACGCACGGATGGACGTGCGGACGCACGCACGGCCGGGTTGATGGACCACGGATAGTCACAGAAACGGACGCTTGGACGGACGGATGCTTCGCCCCATTCTCCATCATTCACTCCGTGGATATGCTGCCAGTTTTCTCTCTCTCTCTCTGAGCCATATTTCCTCATCTAGTTGCCGATTAGCTGTTCTTTGCTCGTATATAGTGTCAGTGTGGCAATGCACGATTTTGAGAGCTTGCTTCGTAGGTATTCCGTGCAACGCCAGCCTAGTACTTGACGTTCTTCACGTCGGTAAGAAGGCACAACCGTATCGTATACATGATCGTGCACGTAAAGTGTTATTTCCAGTGCGCACACAACTAACACGAAGCGAGCGCACACCGTACAATGCATACACACTTAGTCCGGTAACAAGAAAAGCTTATTGTCCTTTCGTATGAACGACACAACGTCTAAAAACGCGACACGATGCCTACCACAGTAAAAACGAAAGTTCGCGTTTGTTGTCAGTTCACACAATAAGTAAGAACCAACGCGACGTACAGCTGAGATAGAGTGCACTAGAAGTGTAGCTGAGAGCTCCGCATGAAAATGCCATCAACAGTGAAGCGAACATACGTGAAAAGTGCCACCACGTACATCCGGCAGTGCACGCGATTCGCACCGAGAGCTGGGCATCGCATAGCTTTTCTAAAAAAAAAAAAAACACGCAAAAGAAGCAGCACTCGTGGATTGACTCGCTGCCGGCGGAGAACACAGCTTCGAAGGCCGCTGCGGGCCGCCGGGAGTGGCGAAGTGTTTATCTGCTTCTCCGCTAGGAGGTAGTGCGGGTGTTTGCGACGTAATGACGTAAGACGACGTAATGGCTTCTCCTATATTTTTCCTTCCTCCTTGGTCAGGAGTCAGAAAGTCTCGGAACGTGGAAGGGTGAGTGCTCCACGGTGAGTACACGTTTTCGTTTTCGTCCGTTGGCTTCCTTTGGTTGAAGCTCGGTCGGACTTGTAAATAGCGCCTTGAGCCCGCGGCGAACGCTTTCTTTTCGTTGCCCCTTCCGAACGCTGGGCCGAAGAGCGGTGTCGTGTCCTAGCCCGTGGCCGTACAGCGCGGACCCATACCTCTCGAGCCAACGCGAGCGTAGTTTGCCCTCGCTCGAGCGACCGGGCCCTACGGTCACAGATCGTGAGAGCAGCGCAGAATTTTCGCGAGGGTGTTTTCCCTCAGCAGCGGGTCACCGTGAATCCCTTTTGCTCACAGAGACGTGCTCGCGGCACCACTTGTTGTTGTACTTTTCGCCCGTTGCGTGGTTAAGCCTCGTTTGCTTTCCCGCCGCCATTTTGCAACGTGCTCTGTACTGCGTTTTTGGTCTTGCCGCAGGCATTAAAGTGTTACGCCCTAATTGAGAGTAGTACTGTGTACTTTCCACGCTGCGTTATGCGCCTTGGCTGTCCGAACCGGCGGGTGCGGCGGCGTTCAGCACGCGACGCGTTGTGAATTCGGCCTTGCGGCTCGCTAAGACAGAAGCCACGCTAATGGCAGTACTCCTTCGGGATGCGCTGTACACTACAAGCTGTATTTTCTGGAGTTTTGGTTTCTTCCCACTTTCTGTATTGTTATTACACATGCGCAAAACAATATTTACTCGCACAACTGTATTGGCTGTTGGAAACGAAGGATTAGAACGCACATAAGGAGGCAAACGCGACAGCGTTCCACGGATGCATTGCCCTGTACTATACACGGCGACAGCTTTTCTGGGCACTGTTATGTCTGCGAGTCCACAGTAAACGTCCATGCCTCTGAAAAGGGCAATCTGTGTCAAGGCCAGCCCGCGAGCCCGCCTGACGCGAACAACTCAACGGCGTCATCACGCGGTGGTGCCTCTCTGCCGCGCACCCACAGTGAGTCACCTCAGCCAGCGAGCCCGTCGAGCAAGCAATCGGCGCCTTCCTGTCTGGCGAGTCTGTGCAATGCGTGGTGACGTCACTCGTCCTTGGGTACAGCCACGTGCAGCGCAGCGTCTTCAGATTCGATGACGCGGCCCAGCGGCGACCCCATTAGAGGATTCTGACCTCACGACCAGCGGCGCTTCTGGTTGGACATTTGGTTACTCAAAGAATCCACCCGGTGCATATAAAAAAAAGCGCTGCGGCGCGTCGCGAGCAGCAGACCTATGTGTTAGAGAGGAGAGCTCGGCTCTTCGGGTCTCTAAGCTGTCAGCCCCAGTGCCGAATTAGTAACGCCTCTGTATATATGCTGTACATAAACCTTGTTTAACTCACCGCCGTCTCGTCCGGTCGTCCATAAGCTCTGCGCAGAAGCGGTCGCGAGCTTGTAAACCCACGCTACCAAACGGCTGGTGACCTTCCCGGCGGAGTTCGAAGCAGTGGCGCCTTCGAGACCGTGTTGGCGTCGCCGTCTTTCGTAAACAGTGGCTGCAGCGGTGAGATTCGTGGCGCCGTTCGTTACGTCGTCGGAGGCGCGCTTCGCAACAGCACAGAAGGGAAAGCTACGGAGGCGGAGCCTCTGCACATGTTGCACTACGCGAAGTAGTTCGTTTTGGTGCGCGTCCGTAACGCTGGGGAAAGACGGGGGCGCACCACCAGTGTTTCATGTAGAAGCAGACGCTGCTTAGTGTTTGAGGTGCACATAAAAAGACAGGACTTTTTCACGTGTTCGAAAACTCCAAGTCACAACAGATAAACTTAAAAAAAATACGATATCTTACAGGTGTGAGCTGCGTCCCGCCTCAAATTGCTCCACATAGCCAAAAATTATGGAGGAACATTTATATGTCACGTCGCAAATACGGGCGCTACTTTGAAACTATCTTCCCTGGCGGTAAGATGCACGTTATTTGGCTCTATAGCACCAAGAAAAGTTCCCGCCGACTATAGGCCATAGAATGCAACCATACTTGGTGTAAATACAGCACGACTTGCAGCAACTGCAAGAAACAGATGCGCAGGATTTAGGTTGAACAGGCCATAGAAGTAGTGTTCCAGCATAGCTGGGGGTAGGTTGCACATGCATGCACCGCAACAAGTCAGAAGAAAATTTCAGCTTAGTGGCTTGGTATTTTGTTTTTCTTGGTAAAATATTTAACTGCAAGGAATGCAAAAAAGTATACAGAATTAAAAGGTTTGTACTTTTTCAGACGTTTCTCTTATATATTGAAAAAAAAAAAGTAGCGGTTGCACAATGCAACCTGTGTCCCACTTGCCACAGGTGGGACATAAATCTTCACTGTGCACTCTGTGATCTCTACTGTTGCGCTACTGAAAACATCAGTCTCCTGCTAATTTTTGTCACGTACTACACGATGCACGCAGTTGGAGGCCCGTTCTACAGTTGCCACTGTGGATGTGAGTGGCGCTGCTTAACCCTCGGAAGTTTCTGCATTGATACCAGGAGTTCAAGCAAATTATTTTCACTCATAACTAAACACTAAATTGTAATAATGAGGCCAAACTATGGAATATATGGAAAAAAATATAAAAACTAAAAAAAATATGGAAACAGTAAGAACTTAGTGCAGGAGTATCGGGAACTCCTATAGTTATATGTCAGTACGATACTCCAAACCTCAACCAGGCAAATACTTAGAAGTTCTTGTGGCTCGGCTAGTTGGTGCATCGTTATGAGGGAAAATTTCAGGTGTATAAAACACCACAAGAATTAAACAGCACAGGTTTAAAAGAGCATCACTATTCCTGCTCCTGTTAGGGGGAGGTTTTTGAGTGTTTTTGTTCCTTCCAAAAGCTGAAATGCTCTGGCGTGGGAAACGTGGAAGATTTTGGGACAGAAAAAAAAGAGGAATGGTGTATAACTGACACACCTGCGGTTTTTCGCACGTCTGAGCTTCAGTTTTGCACCCCATTGCTTGACTAGACATGTCTTTTCAATGACCTTGTCTTTTGATTTGTAGTGATTGCGTGAGGCTATTTGCACATGTGTGGTGCAGTTTGGCAGTTCAGTGCATAAGCTGGTTGCGAGTGACACTCTTTTACTTCTTCGTACCCCTTGCAGTATTTTAGGCATCGAGTAAATTTACTCATAATAGGCAATCTTACATTTATATTGAATGTGAGGCAATTGCAATTTTAGCTTATTTTGTATTGTCCTGAATAGAGAAATATGTAATTTTCAAAGGACATGCATTGTCTTAAAATGTTTTCAGCAGCAAAACATTGCATCCATTGGCGGTCTGATGTGGAAAAAAAGTGTACATGAAAATATTGGTACATGCGAAGTGAAGCTCAAGGACGTATGTGTGCCTGACACTGTATCAGAAAGTGTAACAAATAACAAAGTTTCAGTCTAACAAAAAGAATGACAGTGTATGATACGTCTTGCCCACTTTTCCAGATACGGTGAAGTGATGGCAGAGGAGCAAAATGTCAACATGCCAAGTGCGTTCTCGGCCGCAGCGCAGCCAGAAAGCGTGGACGACTTCGCCTTCGAGCTTCCGGCTGAGCTACTCGACGTCTCCTTCGTGCTGCCCGACGAGCCCAAACCGAGGCCTGCCGAAGATCCTGAGCCAACCCCCGAGCAAAAGAAGCTACGAAAGAAAAAAAGCAAGAACCGAGCTGCCAAGCCTGTGCTGCGTTCGAGCCGTGGTCGGGAACTTAAGACCACCGTGCATTACAGTATTGCAAAATTCAAGGCAGACGAGAAGCCGTGGACAGTACCGTGAGTGGACAGTCATGAGGCTTAATAGAGGGAGTAGTGATTTAGGCTAGTTGATTTTGCCTAATTGGTTTTTCACAAGCTGCCACATCGAGTGGCCGGACACTGAAAGCTGACGTTTGAAGGCCTGACCCCACGTATTCGTAGCAGTGCATGAGCGCGTGTCTTTGTGACACGGTATTGAGCCCTCTCCCAAATGGAGAGAACGAGCGTGCGACTTTGCGAAGCCACGGGCCCGCCGAGCCGTGCACTCGCTCAAGGGTGTCTAAGGGCTTTTGCAAGTATGTCCAAGGCAAGAACTTCGGTTTGTAAATCGAGCAACAGGCAAAGGTGAGCTACAGACTTTTGGAGGACAAAAATGGAGTACAGATTTAGCGCCTTGTGTAAGCACTTGATTCAAAAATCCGAAATTTACAAGTGGTTCACAAGTTGTGCTAGCTGAGATGTGGAGCACCATGTAGGGAACTGCAACATAGTGCGTAAGGAATATGTTGATAAGAAGCGTAGCATAAATATCCACATTTGGGTACAGCTGGTGAGCACAGGAAATTGACGTACGTTGACAGTTTTCGAGGGCGGGTAAACAAATTTGCTGCATTGTAATCGGCATGCAGGTTGGTACAGGCGTCAGTGATATTTGGCAGTTCAAGGCGGATTATGCCAGCAGAGCAATCAATCAGAGCAGAATTGGCAAGAAAATCAAGGCCTAGTATGGGGTTGTGGGGACATTGTCAAGGACAGTAGAAAGGACGACCACTTAATTTCCGGCCATGGTAAGTTGAGCTGTACACATACTGATGCCAGGGACTGTTGTGCCATCCGCAACTTGCACGACACGGATCAAGGTGTGTGTGAGTACCTTCTTCATACGACGATGAAAATCCAAACTCAATGTAATTGTGAGCGCCCGTATCAATCATGGTGTGCTGTGAAGAGATACTTCAAGGGCGTTCCGGTTTAAGCGTAAGAGCTACAGAAAATTTTCGGGTAAGGTCGACAGGGCAGCTTCATCTACAGAAGCTGCGCAGCCTAGCTTTCTGGGGACATGCAACGGTTAAACGACGGCGAGGTAGAGCGGCAACACGTATTCGAACAAGAAGGGCGGCTTTGAGGCAGTGGCGGTGATGGGAAAGGCAGGCCATAGTCTTCGGGGACGGTAAATGCTGAAAACTCTGTGTAGGTCGGATAACGGTGGTTCGGTGGACGGACTTGAGTTCCTGTAAGTGGGGTATGGGCCTGAAGGCATAGATGGCCACTGGCTGCATTAGTAACAAACAACGTGTCCCGTGCGGCAGCTGAAACAGATTGGCTTATCATCAGCTGTTCGTCATTCAGACAGGTTTTCGGTTTGAAGGGAGTACATACGGCGGCATGTCACGTAGACAGAAGCTATTGAGGGATCAATATAATCCATGGCGCGTACAGTGGGCAGGAGACTAAGTTAGCGAATTCCTGGCGTACATTAGCCTGGATCAAGGAGCCAGCTGGCATCGAGGTGTCAAGCAACATCCGTTTTTTGGCAGCCGGGTAAGCGGCCTCAAGGTCATGGCAGACGATGCACGTCACGTCTTCGGTTGTGGACGACTGACAAGGGGTGGCTTTGGAAGACGACGTTGCAGCGGTGTTGGGTAGGCGGTAGAACAGCTGGTCCAAACGCAGCGGATCTTCGCCTGCTCGAGACCGCAGCACTCTTTTGTTATGGTGTTGATGGTGGTTATATTTTAAAGACAAGCACATTGAACGCATCATTGGCGATACCTTTCAAAATGTGCGAGATATTGTCAGCCTCAGCCAGGCTGGTATCGGCTTTTGTGCCCGATATTGTTGAGCTCGATTGTTGAGCTCGATATCTTGTTGACAGATGCCAATTGTTATAACAAGATCTTTAATTCTTCCAAATCATCCCAGAAACACGCACTGAAATTGGCAATTCAGGAAACTTGGGTAGTTTAGCTTCCTTGGCGGCTACTTGAGTACGTTCTGTATCTGTGTTTACACAAGACTTTTAAACCGATGTCGCTTGTGCTTGACTTATTCTGCAGTGAACGTAAACGCCTGCTGGCTGCACTGAAGGCTCATGGAAGCAGTGACGTGAACAAGCTGGCCAAGGCTGTTCGCACGCGAAGTGTTGCTGCTGTCAGGTGAGCTGGCCGTCCCTCTTCGAGAACACAGTGTTTAGAACTGCAAAGAGTGGAGTTGGTACGATAATAATGTTAAAAAAGGGGGGATGCAGACATGGACTAGAGAAAGAAGACAAGGCACCCCCAATTGCATCTAATATCTGAAAAGGTGCACAGTGGCAGAAAAGAAAGAAGGCATGAAGACTTGCACGCCCAGGCAAGAGGTGAAACCTATCAAATCCTGGACAGGGGGGGGTCTTATAACTGTTCATACATTTTGATTTCTTTTTTATAAAAGGTAATCAACGGAGGGCTGACACATACGCTACCACTAATACGGAAATGCCGTGCCTCCACTGTTAGATGCGTTTTTGTCATTTATTTGCCTCTACAAAACAGCTATAACTGAATTTCAGTGTGCATTTACTCTTTGGACAACGATGAGATATCTTAAACAGGAAGTCCTTTTTTTTTTCCACGGTAAAGCTAGCTTTTCAGGTTTAATGGGCCTAAGTAATCATGTGCCCCTCACTCCCACGGAGGCTTGTCTAAGCTCAGTTATCCAGAAACTGAATTATGCCACAAAAGCAAAATGCCTACAGTAACCCGTAAAATGGTGAAAAGCTGATATGGTTAGATAAATTATCAAGTGTTTGATGTTATTGCTCATCTTTTAGGAAAATCTGGCAGGAGAAATCGATGATACGAAATGAGCTGTTCAAGTTTTTGTCGGCCTTTTATCATATCTCCGTTTTGGAAACCGAGTAAAAAATGCAAATGCCAAAATTTTTTCTTGCACTACTTGGTTTGGGGGACAATTTCAAAGTGTTGCAATCTGTGGATCATTGTGTACCTCTACTACGTGTGGGCACACATTGCCTTCAGTAAAATTCAGAGAAGATGGCTTTACTCCTGCATTCATGTTCTTGCCTAATGAAAATTTTGTGCTTTGTTATGCCATTACTTGAAGAGCAGAAAATTTTTGATCTGTAAGACAAAAACGCAGTACAGCCTGTGCTCGAAAGGATGAGTTATGGAAAGCATAAGTTTGCAACACTGAGGGCAGGCTAACTTTGTGAGAAAGCTTCCAATTCGAAAGTAAAGGAGTAATTTCAAGTATTGTTTGACCTTGAGCGCTTTTGGCTGACGTGTATAAAAGTGGTGCTTAGAAGGTCTATAAGTTGATGTTTGACACACTACTTTGGAAAAGCTTGTTACCACTGTGTTCGTATCTTGAGACGACTTTCCCTCAGATGTGCTCAGAATGGTTCCTTTATGGGCATAACATTTATGCATGTGCAGTTGGGCTTGCTGTAATACAGTAGTGCAGAAGGAATAGTCTGAGCATGTGGCTTGTGAGAGCAATGGCTCGAATTTGTATGTTCAGACAAACTTATATTGATAGGTGCTCACTGAGCTTTCCTAACTACTACAGCTATGACTTTGCAACCTCACTTGATGAGTAGGTGAAGGAAATTTAGTGGCTATAAAGGAAGCATCTTGTAGAAAACAGATTGAAGATGGAGCTCGTAGTCGATGCAGAAGAAGTGGCCAGGGGCTCGCTCTTCATATATATTTTTTATTCTTGTTCTGTCAACAATAAACCGAAGGCTTATCGGTTCTGCGGTCTCTCTAGTCCTTCTGAAACCCATGCGATTTGGAGTGTAGCAGTTTGCTCTGCCAGTTTTCTTAGTGTTGTCCAGGTCGTTTCTTGTACTGATCTCACTCTTATTGATGTCCACAAATACTCTTCCAAGTAACCATTGAATGACCTCAATGTTGCAATTGATCCACCTGCTGGAATTGAAGTTGTGGGGTTTATTTGCTCATTTGATGTGCTTTCATTTTGTCCCACTGAGTGTGCTGAAAGCTGCGCAGGGGGTGGATGGCGAAGGGGTAAGATGCTACGTCAGTGCCGTGATATGTTCGCTCACTCCTGGTATGATAACAGCGCATGCTAATGCTGTTACTGCGTAATTTTAGTACAGTATAAAGCACTGTGATGGCACGCGGAACGAGTTCTCGGCAAGAAGTGCATTTGACTCAAACACCAAGCGCCGCCAGTTATCGGCCTGGAGTGGCAAGGCGCTAAATTATGAAACAGTGTTGACGCTGGCCGTTTAGAAGATAGTGAGGATTAGGCTTTATATGAAGAGAGAAGTAAATGAATCCAATAGGCAGTTAAGCTGAGGAAGGGGTAAGGGACATAATATATGTCGTTTTTAAATATAGTGTTGCATGTTTAGTTTTTAGCTGTAATGTAAACATCATTATTGCACTTCTGGTACAGGAAATGTGAAGTAGTTTTCAAATTCTTTAAAACATTGTGTTTAGCAAGTACTGATGTTAGTGTCACTGATGTGGTCATTTTTCTGGGGTTGTTGCAGTAGGAGCTTTTGATCATGTGATAGAACAGTTTGCCTTGCTCCGTCAGCCTGAGTGCACTAAAAGTTTGGACGTGAGAATGAACCAACTGGAATATCTGGTTCTTTTGGTTGATCCGTGTTGCAATATGGCAAAAAGTAGGCACCACTCACCGATGTGAAATAATTGCCCGAGCACTGTTTATGTGCTGGAGGCTCTAGTAAGCATAGAGACGCGGAACTACAATATTGGCCACAAAGACAAATGGCCGAGATCCATGTTAATGAGCATCTTGCATATTCTACTGTGGCCTCCATGACTAACTCTGGCTCCGTGCTATTGGCAGAGCTTATTGCGGAGGCTATGCTACAACTGCTGCTGCTTCAAATGACATGGTACATCAAAGATGACGTCATTACATTTGCTCAGTGTCTAAAAAAACCTGCAGGCACAGCTGCAATTTTTAGCCAGAACAGGCTATTCCAGTTCTTTTTTAAACACTCCCACATCAATATTTGAATTTTGTAGTCAACAAACTGTCATTACACACCCCAAAGTAACTTTTTAAAGAGCTTCAGTCTCCCTTTAAAAATGCCTCTTAAGTCATAAACCCACTGAGGTCCTTCGCGTAATAAAATGAGGCTAAATGATATGAAAAAACAGCAAACATTTTTCTCCTGTGCGCTTCTCAGCATAATTATACGTTGTATGCATTTGGTTCTGCCTAACAAAGGCTCGCTAAACTGGACTCGCTCAGACTCATGGCTTAACCTTAGTCTGAGGGAGTCGACTCATGAGCCCCGAGTTGGTGAGAATAAAATTAGCTCACTTGATCGTGCCATCAACACTCTTCATTTCCAAGAGCTTGCGTAATTGGTGTTATGTGACATGCCTTATGATCTCGCACCTTCAAATATTAGTTTTGTCAGAGATTCCAATCCAGTAAGTATTTTTTATTAAACATGCAAATCACATGAGATATTTTTATCAAGCATATCCCACGAAAGACCTTGCAAGGGGGTAAGGGATTTGGGACCATCTAACTTGCACCTCTGATCATTGATTATTGAGGGGGCATATGAATGCTAGTGCTTTCAAGTGTGTGTGAATAGACCTAAATGTAAACTTAAGCATTTATAAGGCTGGTAGTAATAATGAATATTAGTAAAAATGGAGCTCATTCAGACTCTCTCAAAAAATACATTTTGCTCTTTGTGCTCTCTGGCACTCGGCTCGTCAATACTTGCCTCTGCTGGACTCACTCGGACTCGCTGAAATTTTCCAAAACTGGACTCGCTTGGACTCAAGCTCGACAAAATATTGCTCATTACGACTTCCTCTTATCGATTCATCAGCGAGTTTTCGGACATATGGCCGGTTGAGCTTCAAGCCTGTCATCGAAATTCGCCATTGGGAAAGCACTTTGTGAAGAGTTACATAGATTGTTTTCACTAAATAATAGACCAACAGTGGCATGCTTGGCTTTAGAGTTCAGCCAAACTCGTGTGTGTTTCCCAGGCAACCTTACTAATTGATTGATCGATTATTTCTTGATGGATGACTATGTAAGCTTAATGTCCTTAGGCTACACAAAGGTGATGAGGCATGTACAAGAGAGCTGTCAATTCAATCAGCCCTTCTAGGCTTTCTTTCTTGCACTCAGCCTATTCATGGATGCAGACATTGTGATTATGTGTGAAATCCACATCCTTGGGGGAGATAGTGTGGGTTATCATGTGGAATGTTACACATTGTGTATATTTCTGAATGAGCCATTGTCTTATACACCTGTGAGTGGTGAGCACTTGGAATATTACACGTGTATATTTCTGAATGAGCCGTTGTCCTCTGCACCTGTGAGGGCTTTGCGTTGAGAGGCAGCATTGGTGAAGCCCTCATGATGCTCTTGCAGCCACTTCTTGTTGGAGCGCCGGCGCTTGAAGGATCGCATCGTGATCCAGGGCCCAGCTGGCAACAGGGCTGCATACGCGACTCGCATTTTGCGCAGAGCTCTGAATGTGATACGGCGCCGCTATGACCGCTCGAAATTACTCCCACAGGTGAGATTAAGAGCTGTACTTGTTCTGTATTGGTATTATTTGAGAGATTGGCTCTAGGCATATGGAATAGAAAGGCATGCGTAATATAAAGGTACGTCTCACTCACTAAGACTTCCGAGTGAATGGTGCCTCTTGATTGCTGTGAAATTAAATTGAGCATCGCTGGGGCGACAATTGGCTTACGCAATGTGTGGAGCAACTGGGCACATGTGTTTTATTCATGTCCTGTCGTGAAGCAGACCAGTCCTGTGCAGTTTTCCTCCACCAACAAAAAAAAAGACAGTAACACAAAAATGGATATGCTTGTTATGTTTGGCACACATTTGCCTTTGAAACCCTTATGAAGAGCTGCTGTGGAAGGTCCTAAGAAAGATCTGGTCAGCAGAGCACTTTCTTGAAAAAGAACTGCACTTTCAACGTCAGTTGCTACATCTTCCCCTGTTTTGAAAATCCACTTATCTCAATATTTTTTTCCTGTGTGTACTACTTTAAGCTAATGCAGTGTTATTGTGTCTTATTGCATCACTGAATACTATGAAATTATGGAGCCAAAAAAGGCATGGGGAATGTTAGTTGTACTGTTTTATGTGTATTGTACTTATTATAATGCAGATGTGAATGAAAGTGGACAAGTGTACGACAATGCTCCAAAAGATAATCTGTCTTTGCAGGGATCGAACCTGCAACCCTCGGATCTGAAGGTTGCAAGTGACGTTCCTGCCAAATTCGTTTCATTCACTTTAATTTCTTTATTGGGAGAAGACATTCGTATGATTGAGTTCAGTTCATATATTGGGTAAGCATAACTGTTTGGCCTAGTGGTCGAGGCACTCTCTTTCCAATGGGGGGGGGGGGGGGGAGGGGTCTAGAGTTCAAACTCTAGCCTGATTTATTTAGCTTCCCGTATAAATTTATCGGTGGGTTCCAGCTGTTGCTTAGGAAGGTTTTTCGGAAAACCACCATTTTCAGCATTTCAGGTCATTCTGCACAAGCTCGCTTGAAATTGAGTTTTTAAAGTTTGTAACCAACCTGTTAGTAAGGCAAACAAACCTGAGAAGTTTATCTCTCCCTAAGCTGTTTCTAAGTGCTTGGAGGTACCGAAAGAAACTTTACAGTTTCCTTTGCAGTTTCTCTGATGAATTAGAACCATAGGGCTCTTGTGGTGTGCATCAATTACATTCCATTGGTGTAGTGTATTTGAATTCCGCCTCCTTATAATAGATATGAGGAGGGGGGTAAATTCCTGTTTCTCATATAAGGAGTCCTCTATTAGCAGGGTGCAATGTTTGAGTGTTTAGTATTTCCTGATCAATTCCTATTTCTATGGGGCACTAGTGTCTTTTATACACTGTGCTCTCTCACGTTGGTGATTGTTCAGTTTCCTGTGCTGCCCTGTGCCATTGTGGTTGGGCTCACTCGAACAAGAGCATTTCGAGATTAGAGACCTCACCATAGAGTTTCCGAACTAACCCGTCAGGAAGAGGGACACAGAGGAAGACAAAATGCCAGGCCTGCGTGGTCGACGCAACATAGTCACAGCAAAAGCTAGAAGAGCGGCATTTCAGAGCTTTTTCAAAACACTCAATGGGTAACTACTGCAAGCACACTTTCTTGGTAGTGACTAGGGCATTAATCGTAAAATTTTGCGTAGTAGGCCGGCATTTGCTATGCTATTTTTCGTCATTCTTCTGACAAGCGTGGTATCGTCTAAACACTTGCAAGGAATTTTGTGCCAATTGTCCAAGCAGTGGCTGACGACGATGAGTAATTATGGCTGTAGTGCGTATGCACCACAGTTAATAGGGGAACAAGAACAAGCGTTTGTAATAGATTGGAGCATTGGATGGCGCACTCGTTATGTTAATCACGTTGTGCGACGACTGGTTGTTCTTTCGCTGTTTTGAAATGTTTTATAAGTTGTGTTAACGGGACTGCTTTCCCACCACCAAGCATGCCTAAGGCAAGTTTGACAATAAGTCACAAGCACCGGTGTAGCTCAGTGGTAGAATACTGGGCTGGCACTCAGTGGACCCGGGCTCGAGCCCCACTGTGCCATCGGTGCTAGGTCATGCCTGCCTAAGCCAAGGTTTTTTTTCTAATATCTCGCGATGTGGTTACGGACATCGGTGGTGGCGAACAACATGCAACTACGCGTGACCCGAAGAGTGATCTCATAAGAGCTTTCGCTGTAATATTCAGAAGGGGAAACTCCTGTAAAATGTGCATCTGTAGGTGTCCAGATAATAACAAATAAAATACAAAAATATCATGCTCCAAAAGAGACATATTATTTGGCTGTGCTTTGTGGTGCAAAGCTGCAACCAGAAAAAAAAAGGAAACGTTTCCAACCGAACGCGCTCCGCGTAACCGCTTCGTGACTGCAGCGGAATGCGAGCAACGCATGCGACCGATTCGCTCAGAAAATCACACAGCAGCGATTTTTTTTTTTCTGCAGCAAGACACCACCAGCGTGACTTGGCTCTCCAGCAGCCTCAAAGTGTGGAGTTGCACCTCCTAAATGTTTCTGCCTCCGTGGGTAGGGCCTATGTGCCATGGCATCGTGAGAAGGGCGCATTGTGCCCATGATGCTTTTTTATCCTCTGACTGTCATGCGCAGGTAGTGGCTGCCTGTGAGCAGCAACCATTTCCCGAGCCGACGGAGGACTCCACCAAAGAGCTGCCCCAGTTTGAGCATATCTACCAGACGATTCGTGACGTGATGGAAAACAACGTGCCAGCTGCATTGGGAGAGTGCGAGCTCTGGATAACGCATCGTCTGCTGTGGACCATACGGAACATTGTCAACACGCTCGACCTGGACTCTTCGAAGGAGGCTCTGTACCAGGCTCTCCGCTGGGCGGCTGTGAGTGCTGCATTGCCAACGTTCAGTTTCTTCATGTGCTGATGTAGAACACACAGAACCTCTGAAACTGGTTGCACGAGCAGTCTTCCACCAGCTTGACTCGTTCATTCATGCCTGCTTGTGCTGTGTTTGGTTACTGGCAGGACATCTATCATTGTGACTATGTACCTGAAGACCAGGCATGATAGGCAGGGGCCACAAAGTAAGAAATAATAGGCACTTTTTGTGAGGAACACTGTAGGCTCTTGGTCCACTTGACGACTGTGAGCACTACTCATAATCAAGATGGTCATGCTGGAAACGGAAACTACACAAGCTGTCTCCTGCTTCAGAATTTAAAGCACACCAAGCCTCAATGCATATCTTGGGTGTTGTAATCTAATTGCGGTATTATGGTTGTAAAGCTGCAGATATTATCAATGCATATCACACAAAAAAAAGCATACAGTAAACCCTCGTTAACTCGAACTCGCATATCTCGAAATCTCGGTTAAGTCGAAACTTTTTTTCGCTGTGCATTAACCTCCCATAGGTGCTATGTATTTGCCCCCTCTTATCTCGAAACGTTTTCTAGAGGGAACAGTGGATATCTCGAAATCTTGACAGGGAGGGCAGAAGGCAAAGTCTACTCCCAACAGGAAACGAGGGCTCCGTGCGAACGCTTAGCTCTTACTATACGTGCCGAACGCAGTCGTGAAGGGCGAATTTGAAATTCCCGCGGACGCAGCCGTTTCCTATCAGCCTTGTCAGGCAACTGTGGGAGTGATCACGTGTGCGCACCTGCGCGCGACTTATGCGCGGTGGGCGGCGTGTGCAGCATGCGCCCGTCAGTACGCAACCTAGCCCTTGCTTGTGCGAGCTGGTATTCTTTGTTTTCCTCGCTTTGTTTTCCCCGTTACCGGAATGCCGTCGGACGCCGATATCGTTGAGATGGCCGTGAACGACGCAGATGACCATGCAGATGAGGAAGAGCCTCGAGAAGTGCCTACGACGACAGAAACACGTAACATGCTGTGCTTGCTCCGCAAGAAGGTCGAATGCAGCGGTGGCGACCAATGGCTAATGCTATGTGTTGAGCAACTGGAGAACGCCTTTCTCGGACCGAACGCTAAAGCGAAACAGGCGAGCATCACGCAATTTTTTGGTCCTCGGTAATAAATTTTTTTCCCCTCCGAATTCTTGTGCCTTTACTACGGTAGCTGTTTTGTGCAGTGGAGCTTTTCCTAGCAGCACTGGCTTTTCTTTTACAGTGACCTGGGCGAACATTTTCGGCGTTTTGCTTAACTCGAAATACCGCCTATCTCGAAATTTTCCCCGGATTTGATGGCTTCGAGTTAACGAGGGATTACTGTATGCAGGGTGTTCCATGCAACAGGAACTAACGATAGAATGAAAGTGTTTTTTTGCCCTGTGGGGTTTTAAAAAATGCTGACGCACTGTGAAGCAAGTGGCTCGGGTCGTGGCCACCACTGTGGCCATGGTTCCCGCTCATCGTTCTTCACTCAAAGCAGGGTTAATTGTGATACGGTTGTGCCTGAGGGTCATGTTTTTTTTTAGAGTTCATATCATGTGGACTTTTTTAAACACAGGAGAAAATCACCATGGTACATGTTGTTGAAAAATTGGATCATTTATTTTGGTATGCCCGTTACAACATTTTGATATGTGATTGTTCCTAAAGCGAAAATTTAAATTTTGCGCATATGATCTTGGTTATAAGACCGGACTGTTTCACGTAGTCTGGTCTGGTGGGAGAAAGCTTGCCCTGTACATAAGTTCCACACCCATAGCATTCCCTTTATTGTAAAGAAATGTAGTGTGCGAGTATACCTTCAGGTTTTTTAGCCTAGAGCTATACCTAGAAAAAACTGACAAAAACATCAACATGCTACTTAAAAGTGAAAACTGTGCCCATTTCACACATTTAAATGTGAAGCATTTCTTAGCAAACTTCGGCGACTTTGAGCGTATCTATCTAGAAGCCTTTGTCTTTTAGCTCTCCTGGCCGTTTCGATAACGGCATCGATACCAAACTTGGTGTGGCTAACTAACATGACTGCACGAAGAACATATTTGCCTTGTCGTAACAAGAAAATCATTACATGTATGTCATGAATGTCATGATTTACATTTTGTGGTCCTGCAGCTCTTGCGGTGGTTTCGTTCACTTGGCATGTGTCAAAACTTGTACGGTATGACATGATTGCATGGCGAACACAAGTGACAGACCCTAATATAAAAATCATGACATGTGTGTCATGTTAGAACATGACTACAAGCCACGCTCATAATGCGCTTGAGGCCGTTTCGCTAGCGTCACATATACCAATTTTGGTATTGCAGTACGTGAATGGATGACGAAGTTATGTGACTGGTGCAAACATGATAATCATGAGATGCGTGTAATGTAACAGCAAGACTACATGCCACACTGATGATGCACTCACGGACTCACGCTAGCTTCACTAATGCCAAATTTGGTTTTACGTGGCGCCAACGGATGACGAAGGTATGTGACTGGTGTAAACATGATAATCATGAGATGAGTGTCATGTGATTTGGCTGCATGTTTGGCAAAATGTCTCTGTGACTGCACACGAGTGTGAGCCTTGACATCACATTCACCGAAGCGCATGTTGGGTGCACGTCCTTGTCTTCCATTCTTCCTTTTATCCCACTCTCCCCTTCCACAGAAGCGCCGGTGCTTTACTCCGGCCAGGAGCATTGTTCACTCATAGTATTGCTTGCATGTGAATCGATGTGTAAGCTGAGAGAGTTAAGAGACACGGGCAACAGCCCGCATTGCTTGCATGCTTGTTTCCGGCGTGTGTTATGTCTCCAAACGTTACATCTTTTAGTTCACGGTGTGGCGCTAGATGCAACAGTTTGGCGGAAATGCATTACATTAATTTTTTTCTTTAGTTTCATCCCGAAGAGAAGGTGGTGTCTATTGATTTTGGCGTCCAGTATCCGAATTTGGTGAAGTCTTGGTGGCAAAAATTTTGCTCAGTATTTCTTCAATGCATTTGGTCATCATGCAAAATGCTATACAGCCAGTGTTGCCTTGCTGAGTGTAGTATAGAGTGCCGTGTTGCCAGTACCGATCTTTCCACACCTAAGGCTGCAAACACTCTTTCACGATGCAGGCACAGCCTGCTGATGGCTACTCAAAGCCCACTGGCCAGGATGACGAGCAATGCCAGGTTTTGCCATCTGAGGACACTATGAGGCGAAACATGAACTTCCCCAGCATGAAGGAGCGAAAGGATGGCCTGAAGTCTTCGTGGAACCCGCTCCGGATGCCCACAAATGTCATCCAAGTTCAGTGGGCTGCGATCCAAGAGTATCTAGCCCAGAACCCCTCCCGTCGTGAATGTGTCGAGCGTTTGCTTCCGAATGAGGAAATTCCATCAACTTCCTCTGCCACTACTGCCAGCAACACTATTTCCGGCAAGGCCGTGGCCGCTCGCAAGAAGACGGATTCGCGGTCTTTGGAAACATTCAATGTTTGGAAGAACTGATCTTGCTGCATTCCAAGAGGCCAACGATTGCAAGTATGACATGTGGCCGTTACCACGTATGCCATTCTCCCGGACATGACTAGCACAAGAAGTGTGAACTTTCAACTTTATTTCAGACTTTATTTTGTTTTATTTGGCCTAGATCACAACACCAATAAATAATTTGTGATATTTGGTGGAATTTTATATAAGAGTTCTTTGTTTTTGTGCTGTTTCCTAAAAAGACAGGAGCAGGTGCTTAAATTTAGGGACTGTCTGTTTATAGTGTATAAGGTACCAATGTCAGATGGCAAAAGATAGGGTGTGTGTGGGAAATGCAAAAGAAACAAGAGAAGTCAAGTAATGTAAGTGCACAAGTACTGTGCGACCTTTACCGTATTTGCTCGTGTAATGAAAACTTTCTTTATATTTTTTTTTTTCAGAAAACTTGGCGCCAGTTTGGAGGAAGGTTCATTAAAAATTCTAGCAACAAAAATCTGGCTGTCCGATCGCTGCGGCCCTTCAGTTAAGTTGGTGAACTAGAAGCCTCTAAACTTATCTAAGAACTGCGCTTTCCACAAGTGGGAAACTGTCCTTGTTTTAGCTCGCGAAATGCGCAATAAACCTTTTGGGTTAGCCGAAGCTCTTCTTGTTTCTCCTAGTAAAAAACCTGCACGAATCAACACTGAATTAATGCTGTTCAGCAGCTCGGTTCTCATGCCCCAGCGCATGCGCAATCAACTTTAAGTTTAAAACTGGCCATGTAGCTAGCATACTGACCGGTTGCACCTTGCACAGCAGGTGTCCAGCAATGTTCACTAGGACAAACCCGGCAACAAAAGTGCACCACTGGATGGTAGTGCACGCAGCAGAGCGCCAGAGTCAAAGCTCACTATTCGTAGCGAGATCGGGCTATAGGTGGCAGTGGCAGCACTGTTTCCTAATAGTGTGGATAGGCAGTTCGCAGCGCATTTACGATTCCGTGCATTGTCTCTTATTTGCATGCGATATGAGCCGTTTGTTGGCGAATAAAATGCGTTGACTGCAGTTACTGGTAATATCTACGCTCCACTCATCTGAATGGGTTCTCGGAGCCTAAGCAACGTTAGCATTACTAGTGAGTGAGTGAATTGCATTTTGCCTTCAAAACGGATGCTTGCCCTGGGTGACTGTGTGCATGCTTTTGTACTAAATCATGCTTTTGCTAAACTTGTATGTGTTTAGCTTCTGTTTGGCCTACTATGGACTGCTGGAAAACGCCTGAACTACTTATTTACATCTCGCTCATCTGCTTACAGAAAGTAAGATTGTAGAAAGAACCCATATTGGTGCTGTGAATTCAGTACCACCATTCGTACGAATGGTGGTGCTGTCGCTACGATGACTGGGGGACGTGGCCTGGCTCATACGCCATGTTTATTCCATAGCACTTCTTCCTTCTCGGCCTCTACCAACCATCGCTTCATACGTCACACGATTCCCCTCGCCCTGAAAGAATGCATGAATTACGAACAAGAAAAAGTAAACAAGGAGAGGTTGAAAAGTCACAAATGTCAAAAATTCACAATTGGTTCTTTGCTCCAGAGGAGTTCCGTACACTTTCAAAGACTTCAGGAGAGAGCACAGCAGTCCGGTTAACACAGGAGTTTGGGTGGGCGAGGCTGACTGTGGCGTTCTGAAAAAGATAACCACGTCTTGCAGAACTGCACTAAACATATGACACGTCTTCAGCAGCTGCGAAGAACGAACGAGGTTGGACGTCCTTGTAGCCTTTGAAGGTCAGACGTCGTATACGTCGAATTTTTTGTCGTGGGTGCTGTATTTTGTGTCGTGGCTGAGACAGAAGCATTGCTTCCAGCTGGCGTTTCCGAGAACCGCAGTGGATGATACGATGTCTGCGTTCCTGCATTTGGCAAACGGTAGCGTTCAGTCTGTTTAGTGGTTTGTTGTGGTGGTATCTGCGTCAATAGGATTGTACATGATGCCTCGATATCTGGTACAGAAGACTTCCTTGACGTTTTCTTCTACGAATATGGCTCAGATGTTGACTTGGTCTTTCCTTTAGTTGGTGTCGTTCCTGACGACCATTCTTAAGCCGCAAAACTGCTTGTGATCTTATTTTAGTTCGTCGTAGTACTTGATGTAACTGCCGCACTTTGCGGAGTTCTTTAAGTTCTTGATGGCACTGCTGATGTTGCGGAATCTGTCGAGGTGGTACTCCTTTAGTAACACGAGTTTGCTTTTCTTTGATAGTTGGTGTGACCAATAAATAGTTGGTAGTTGTTGGGTTCTCGTGATTCTCAAAAAAAAATGAAGGTGGTGCACTAGAATTGACAGAATTTCTTTGGAGGCTTTTGCACTGTTCACTACGAAGGGCTTTTGCGCTTGGCAGCGTACGATGTTCGATTTGTCTGAGCCTTCTGCTTTGTTTCCACTGTCTAGTGTGTATGCACCGCACGGTGATGAATGAACCCGTCCGGAAGGACCATGGCTTCACAGGGTATTTTCGTGAAGCGCCAGGTCGTCTACCGTGGTCGCATCGTCCTTATGAGGCAAATGGTAAGCGATAGGAGCGTTTGAAGAGCCGGGTGATGGAAAACCACGCGGTGGACCGCGTATGCGAGGAGAAGAATTAAGAGCATTAGGTCGGTGAGAAATGCCTCGCGTCATACGCTGGAGCGAGGACTTTCGAAATGCTGACTTTCGTGTAGAAAGGAGGCGCGCTTGATGGTTAGGTTTTTCCCAAAACACGCATGGTCTTCTGAAAGTAAACTGAAATGTCACTTCGTCTTGTGGCAGTTGTCGATTCACGTTGGGCTTTCGAATGCTTGAGGACTGCTTAGGGAATTGACGATAGTGTGCGGTTTTCTCCAGATGGTTGGCAATAAGTAGGTCTTGGTTATAGTCGTTAAAACGAGTGATCATCTTTTAAGAGTGGAAACTTGGGCTAGTTGGTGCGTAGTAACATTTGAAAGATGTTTCAGCTCGCGAACAAAGGAAAAAAGGCACAGGGTAGACAGAAAGAGCGCCTGCTTCCAACTTACTTTATTTCACAGAGTGGCAAGAATTTATACGTCTAAAAAGGAAGTTTACAGGGCATGAAGGTGAAAAGCAAGCCTAATCTACACACCAGTAACAGCACGTGTGACGGGTACTCTATTGCCTCGAATCCCAGCCAGGTAATCACGCTCAGCCTGTGATAAAGCAACCGATGAAGTGCTTACGCATTTATCTCTTAGCACGTGTATTTTTTCGGCTTCGATAATTTCTCGGGTAAGCTGGTCCCTGTGCCTTGCCAATATAGAGCACTGATCAAAGAGGGGGGTGCACCCACAATTTCGGCAATGAATGCCAGGATGCCCTTGTGAATGCCAGGATGCCCTTGTACCACATTGTGCACATTGTTTCGGTGTTCTCGGTGGCGGTCGTTTATGCACATGCCGGTTTGGCCGACATAGACACACCCACAGGTCAGTGGAATCAAGTATACGACCCCCATTGCGCACGTGACGTAGCATTACCTGTGCGCGACAGAGCACGTGGCAGAATTTGCGCGAGGTGCATTGCCCCGTTTTCGAAGCTTCTGCAATTTTTCCCGTGCTGAAAAAACAAGAATGTTGGCGTCTCGAGCAATCTTTTTTAGCCTGTGTGAGACGTCGTGCACGTACGGTAGTACGACAGGCCGGCTCTTTCTGACGCTGTTGCGCTTATCTGGTTTGTCACCTTGCTTCTTGACAGTGACCAGCTTTTCCGCCACTGAAACGAGAACGTGCGCGGGGTAACCAGCTTTGGTGAGGCGCTCCACTTGTAGAGCAAAGCTGCGGTGTACTATGTGGGGGCAAGACTTCTTTAAGGCGTTGGCAAGGCAGAGGTTAGCAATGCCCAGCTTGACCAATTAGCTGAGCTGAAAGGCAGAAGGCTTGCCGCTTCTTGGTTCATACATCCAGCAAACATGTCGGGGTTCTAGCAAAAGCTTCAAATCTAGAAATTTCAGGTTGTTATCAGTGGGTGATTCATACGTTAGAACTAATGGTTTTAGGCAATCTCGGAAAACAGTCAACACGTCAGAGGAAATGGTCTGAAAATTTTGACTGTCACATTTCAACAACACTAAATAATCATCAACAAAACGGCTAACTTTAAAAACCACAGAGTCATCAAGTTCAACAAGACACGATCATGATCGTGTCTGATGATCTCAGACATGACTGAGATCACCTCTTCTGTGTTTGATCAGTGCTCTATATTGGCAAGGCACAGGGACCAGCTTACCCGAGAAATTGTTGAAGCCGAAAAAGTACATGTGCTAGGAGATAAATGCGCAAGCACTTCATCGGTTGCTTTATCATAGGCTGAACGTGATTGCCTGGCTGGGCTTTGAGGCAATAGAGGACCCGTAACACGTGCTGTTACTGGTGTGTAGAATAGGCTTGCTTTTTACCTTCATGCTCTGTAAGCTTCCTTTTTAGACGTATAAATTCTTGTCACTCTGTGAAATAAAGTTACTTGGAAGTCAGCGCTCTTTCTGTCTACCCTGTCCTTTTTTCCTTTGTTCGCACCCTGAAACATCTTGCAAATATGATCATCTCTTCCTTTGATCTTCTGCCACGATTCGTCCTTGTCAAAGATGTGGGTAAGGTAAAATTTGAATGCCTCACCAGTCAAGTATACTCGTTGAAGTTTGTAACCATCTCCCATTCCGACCATCATGCAGCGGTAGCGTGGAGCTCGAACAGGTCGAACCAGTCCTGTACAGGTCCATCGTCCGCTGCTCCAGTGTACTTGGGGAAGAAGGTCAGTAGATGAATTCTGTCATGATGCCGGGAACTGCATGCGACTGAGATCACCTTTTCTGTGGTTGATATTCAGTGGAGATGTACTGCCGGTGGCTTCGTGAATGATGCGAGGTTGACGGGTGGTGGCCAGGTCTTCATCCTGTCGACTCGTGTGACGCTACGATGACTGGGAGACGTGGCCTGGCTCATACGCCATGTTTATTCCATAGCACTTCTTTCTTCTCGGCCTCTACGAACCATCGCTTCATATGTCACACGATGACGACGTCCCTGTTGACAAGTGGTTGCACCTCTTCGAAACGAAGGCGAGCAACGTCAGCTGGTCTGAACGAGATCGCATCGACTGCATCAGCGAGTACCTAGAAGATCAGGCATTCCGCTGGTACCTCACCGAGATTTTCGACGCAGAAGATACGTGGGAAGGCATGAAAACAAGCATAACTTCACGATTTTCTGCACCTGTTAGCGACCCTTTCCGCCAATTCATACACTGCAGACTCAAAAGAGAATAGCGCATCAGACACTACTACGAAGAGAAGACACACTTTTGTCGCCTCGCAGGCTTAAAAGACGTTCACATAGTATCAGGATTGACCGATGGTGTACCTGAAGAGATCGAAAGGCGCCTCGCTGGATTGACGCTCACCACCCCGGCCAAGTGGCTTGCTGCTGCGCTTCAACCGGAAGACTCTGTTCACAGAGATGCTTCCCAACACTCGTCAAAATGGCAGCTCATGCGTCGAGAGCCTCATTCTACGTGACCATGGCTCTCTGCATGATCGATGCGCACCCCTCACAGTGAGTGCCGACGTTGTGCATCCACTGGTTTGCCGAATCATATTCACTGGCACAATGAGTGCCCTCGGCGAGAAATGGTGTCTGCTCTAACTGACAACCAAGGAAACGAAGAGGGCGGCCCAAAGCTTCATTAATACGTCTTGGTGCACTTATGGGAGACGCAGGGGGCGCCGACCAGTGCGGACGCGAGAAGATCGGCTCCCGTTTCTGTTAATGTTTTCGTTAGGATTTTTGTGGTGCCTGTGCTCGAGCTGCGTTTCATTCGACGCAGTTTCTTCTGAGGATCACGTCGACACCAGACTTTTTTCGGTGAGTGGTCCTTTTGCTGAATTATTGGAACTTTTCTTGTGGAACGCGCCGCGGCTCGGCTAACCCTACCGGGCTTAGCCTAGCGTCGACGGCGAGAGGCGGGAGAAAAGGGGCAACATGCCCGAAGTAGCGATGGTGGAAGGA